GTTTGGTCGTGACCGGGGATTCGAACCCGCGACCCTCAGATTGCGAGTCGAATGCCTTAACCACCTGGCCATGCCGGGCCCGCGATTTGCGTCACGTTACAACAAAGAACAAAATCCGTTCCACACTTTGGGGCCATGGGTGCGTTATAAAAGGGACGGTCAAATCCCACTATTCTATCTGAGTGACAAGAGTTGGTGGTGTTGACTAACTGCTTTTTCTCTAGTCTATCACTTCAAAATCAGGGACGGTTAGTGCAGATAGACCTCGTGTGATTTTGTACAAAAAAAAACAACAAAAATCCTGCTTTTGTTTATTCCACAGTAAAGCTACTCAAAGCGGATTTAATGCGTGTTGTTTCTGTCATAAGGCTCGAACTCCAAATTCTAGATAAGCCCTTCAAACTTACTGTTGAATACCTTTAGATGGCAAGTTAAAAATAAAACTTTTGGCTGCGTTTAGGCCTAGCTCAGCAATGCTGAAGTGACTATAGTGCTATTACCCACGTCTTAGACTTAGCTTACGAAAATACCTTTAAATGTGAAGTTAAAAATAAATAAGTAAAATGAAGAAAAAGGGGGGTGAAACCAGTTGCTTAAACGAATCGGGGCACGGGCCCCGTGTGTCAGCGCCTAGCGAGGCTAAATGAAAATATTCACTGTTTATTGCGTGTAATCAACAACTCATAACATCGTGGAAGATGGACGGCACTTTAGGGAAGACAACTTGTGTGTCTACATGATCAAGCAAGAGGGGCAGGGCACCCAGCTGGTATGGTAAAAGTGACCGCAGTGGAACAAACACTTAGTCGTAAAGAAAAGCGAATAATAAAATAATAAGACGTCATTGTGTCAAGAGGCGAAGAGCAAAGGTCGTGTAATCAGTGCGTGCTACGACGAAGCTGATATCAATAAAGAGTAAGCAGGTGAAAGGATGGCAAATTTCAGGAGAAATGCATACACATAAAACGACTGTAATTTATCACTGGTTGTTCACTCCATATAATTATCTGATCAGTTTGCCATCCTCTCCCCCTTTTTCTTTCTGCTCTCCTGCACTGGTTGTTCACTCCATATAATTATCTGATACTGCACTGGTTGTTCACTCCATATAATTATCTGATACTGCACTGGTTGTTCACTCCATATAATTATCTGCAGTATCAGATAATTATATGGAGTGAACAACCAGTGCAGTATCAGATAATTATATGGAGTGAACAACCAGTGCAGGAGAGCAGAAAGAAAACGGAGAGAGGATGGTAAACTGATCAGATAATTATATGGAGTGAACAACCAGTAGTATAGGAGAGCAAAAAGAAAACGGGAGAGGATGGCAAACTGATCAGATAATTATATGGAGTGAAAAAAACAGTGCAGGAGAGCAAATAATGAATTGTTTTAGTCGTAAGTAACAAATCTTCTGTAGCAAAAGCACGTGACAAACTATTGTTTTTCTTTTTACCTTAAACAAATAATAATAAGAAATTTCGTACGAAAGAAATCCAGTAGACCACGATGTAGTTCGTTGCCGCCTCCGCTAGAGTGCATCATTTTTTTTTATCGCGTGCATTCTTTAGTTTAACTAATTATGTAGGAACAAAAAAAACAGCCAACTCTAAGGTGCCACTTAAGATTCTGAACGTTGGGTACTGTCTGTATGTTACAAAAGCTGTAACTTCTTAGGTCGTGTTTTTGTTTTCATTAACCTATTACTTTCGTCTCCATCAAATCTGATTCATTCATCAGCAGCCTGAAGATGATAGAGAATTAATCAATCAAACATTTACAAAAACAGCTATAACGATCCAAAAGACAACTTCTCTTACGATGTTAAATATATACAAAGTATTAAAAAAAAATCAATGGCCCGACATGGCGAGGTGGTTAGGGTGCTCGACTCGCAATCTGTGGGTCGCTGATTCGAATCCCTTTCACACCAAACATGCTCGCCCTTTCAGCCGTGGGGGCGTTATAATGTTACGATCAATCCCACCATTCGTTGGTAAAAGAGTAGCTCAAGAGTTGGCGGTGGGTGGTGATGACTAGCTGCCTTCCCTCTAGTATTACACTTCTAAATTAAGAACGGCTAGCGCAGATCTGTTTTCTATCTGAAACAGAGTGGGGAAATCCCCCAGCAGTGATATAATATGAACGGTAATATTGCTGGTGTTTCTGTATGTTATTCGTGAATTATTAGGGACCGTGTAACCTATAAAATTTGAGACATAAAAGTTTTTTTTTTTTACCGATAGGATTCGTATCTGTAATTTAAGAGTGAATGATCGGAGGCTAAAAAATAAGGGAACAAAAATGTTGAGATTGAATTAATCCAGGCTTAAATGTTGGGATTGGGTTAATCCGGGATTAAATGTTGATATTGGATTAATGCAGGGTTAAATGTTGAGATTGGGTTAATCCGGGATTAAATGTTGATATTGGATTAATCCAGGGTTAAATCTTGAGATTGGGTTAATCCGGGATTAAATGTTGATATTGTATTAATCCAGGGTTAAATGTTGATATTGTATTAATCCAGGGTTAAATCTTGAGATTGAATTAATCCGGGATT